TTGCAGCTCAGTTTTTAGCTTAGCCTGTTACTTCAGTGGCATAGGTTTTTCTAAGTTGAGATTGACCGATAGATTAGGCGTCTTCTGTCTTCAAAGAATTGCATTTAAGTCTTGTGAAATCTATAAATATGACTGACACTTCCTGTCCTTTTTCAAGAGAAAGAGTAGAAGTCTTGAATGGTCACAGCAATGTGACTATATTACCTGTGTGACCTGTCCTATTCCTTAGTATGAAGATATGAAGCCTGCAAATATCATCAGTCAGTGCTGTTTTGAAATCTTCTGGTTATATAGCACTTTTGGATGTAAATTAGCACATGAATTTGCTGCAGTTTAAATATTTCCTGCTGCAGTCAGTGCTGTTTGTGAATTACTTGTAGTTTCTAGTTATGTCTCTGTGTTAATGTTTGAATTTGAGTATGTTACTACTTTGGTTTTTCCATGTCGTGCAAATTGCCCTTCATGTCTTGATTGGCAAACTGGGTGATGCTACTTCTGCCAATGTTGATGGACTTCTTACATGATACCCATTGTAACGAGATATTTCTGGGGACTGTGGCTACTTCCTGACAGCTTTGAGTTTATTAGTAACAGCCATGTAACATTTATGCTTTCAGGTCCTTGAACATATTAAAATGATGCAGAGAAGACTCAGAATGCTAATTGAGAAAATAGTCTTAGAATAGGATCATATTTCAATTTGACAATATTCAGAGAAATATGTGATCAAAATTCTCTTGTGTGCTTTTGAAAGCAGATTTGCCTGGTCCACTCTCCAGGTATTAGTTGCAAGATGTCAGAAAGGCACAGCGTTTTGTTAAAACAACTGAAAATTACGACCATCCTGATATTTCTACTTGGAGAAGTGGGAGCAGAAAAGAAGAAAATGGGTTGGAAGAACTGAAGATAATTTTCTAAACCATTACAATAAACTTATATTCACCATTCAAATCTGTCGTTGATGTTCTGGGAAATATTAATTTGATTTGTGTACCGACATAAGCAATTTTGTAAATCTGGGAAAGGCTCTTTACTGGCTTTTGACCATAAGAACAGTTGTACTGGGTCACTCCAACCTTGGCAGTAGTTGATAATTGTTGCAGAGAAGAGAGCAGAACAACAGGGCAAACAAATGCATAGTCACACAGTTATGGAATGTTCCCCAGCCTCCAGCATTTTGACCCTCTGTGTTTTTTGTCTCTTTTTTTTTTCTTTCTCTTTTTTCTTTTAAAGATCTGAGCTTTTGAAAGTTTAGAGGAAGTTCTTCCTGAATTTCATTGTATTTCAGAATAATTTGTATTTTTGTATTATTAAGTGGTCATGATAGAAATTTCTAAGAGACTCTAAATCCAGTTTGGTTTTAGTAATGATAATATGCAATAGTTTGTATCTTGTAGTGCAGAGAGATGACATTCTGGTGGTATTTTTTGAGGGGTGAGAGGCAGGGGACCTGGGAGTAAGTTTGTAATTCACAGACTTAGTATGTATCAAGACTTTTTGCTATGATTCTTGTCATCGGCATCATGTCTTCCTGGGACTCGAGGCTATAACTCTAAATTTAAATGGAGGACGAAAATAAACATTTTCTCTCTATGAATAGAAAAGTTTTTATTAAAGAACTGGTTTTTTTTAATATGCCTTGGTACCTTATGTAATCTTAACTAATACTATTTAGTACTATTTTTATAATTGGTCTTTGAGAAAGCTTATGCAGGACACCAGGTTTTATATTGCTATAAAGCATTTAAAGAATAGTTTGTTTATAAAAAACTATATGTAATTCATTTTCAAGTCAGCCTTGTAGTTATCCTTTGGAATGGTCCTTCAGTTTTCTCTATCTTGGGAAAACTCTTAACATTTCAGCTATGAAACCAATTTTTTAGATATTTTAGCAGTATAGCAATGCTGTTTACAAAGCTACCGTGTAAGATCACACATTGAGAATAATTAACATAATTCCAAGATGAGGATGTAAGAATGGGTTTTCTACAGGTGTAATCTCAGTATCTTGGTTAGAAATAGTATTGTAAGACGACATTTTGGAAAATGGTCCACTTTGGAACTGCTCTTCAAGCTGACTGCAACACCAGACTGTTTATTTCCTGGCACCTTTATATGTACTTAGAAATTCTATAAATAAACAAAAGTCCTTTAATTCACAGCATGTATGCATATCTGCAAAAGAGAAATCTGTACAATCACAGTAGACATTTAAATTTTACTTAGTTGTCGTAAAACTTTTACAGTATTTTAAAAAGTATTTCCCATCTTATGGCTTCAAGTGGGTTAGCAGAATTTTATGATCATAGAGGATATCTGTCTGACTTGGTATTCAGTATATTTTTCAAAATAACTGCATTAACTTGGTACTACAAACAGGTTTTTATGTTTTTACGCTATAAATCGAGACATACCTTCAGTCTAAACATGTATTACTGTGTTTTGAAAATCACACAAAGTTTTTGTGTGTAAAGTATTTTGAGTGTAAAGTATTCATGCACTAATTTCTTCGAATCTGACAAAGTAGAATTGATGTGTTTATACAAATAACAGGAGTGATCTGTGTCGCGGAGTTTGTTTTTTTAATGTAACTTTCTCATCTTTCATATTCTCAGGTTTTCTGTGCAATTTCCACCTTTTGAGTTAAATGTAAATTAAGAATACTTTAATATCAAGAAGGTTACATAATTGTCCTGATATTTTTTTTTTGCAACAAGTTGATAATGGTGAGATATGACTTATCATTGATGTCTCATTTCATTATTAAAGGTCTTGATTAATATGTGTTTTAGGAGGCTGGTTATTTACCATATAGTCTTACATAGGCACCTCTAAGTAACTGATTTCTAATGTCTCACTGCTTTTAATAACTGAAAACTTGTTTCAGTGGAAGTGGACAACTTGAATTATTGTTTCTAGTTGGTGTATTTCGCTCAACTTGCTTCGTTTTGACAGCTTGTACTTTAACGAGCTACTAAGAACAGCTTAACAATATGCAATTGCATGGCATTTACACTTTGAAAATATCTAATAATTGTAGAGGTGTATAGGAGATTCACCAGAATTATCCATTATCCAGTCATTACTGCAATTCTTTCAGAAAGAGGACCTCTTGTATTCCTAGTCCATGATGAGATGCTTGACTGTAGTGAACTACAACGTCCTCCTTTAAAGGAAGTGTTTAGAAATATTTAATCTTATTTCACTTTTTGGCCTTGTGATTCTAGTAGGTGTGACATCAGCTACTAGTGCAGTCTCTCACTTGAGAATTACGGTATATATATACATTGACTACTGTGTACAGTACTGTGTACTGTTTTAGCACCTACCAAGTGATGCATATAATACACACTCCTTAGTTTAACTCATGTCTAGCTTCAGAGCTACTGAATTATTTGTGTGCTAAAGTCTACCATTCTTTTTTTTTCCTGTTTCATTCACATGTGCATAACAGAGCAGTGAATTGGCATGCTTCTAGCTTACTGAATGTGGTCAAACAATGCTGCTAAATCTGTCAGGTGAAAGGAGTCGTCACTTGTGCTAGTATAGCTATTGCTGGTCCTGTTTGAACCCTGCATTAGATGTAGCACTAGTTGTTTTGTGTGGCTGGACTTCTGTCATGTTTTTTCTCTCTGGAGAATGGGATCTGTCAGAATGCATCTTGGTTCTCACTGGGGAAAAACAATGTCACAGTCCTGAAGGGGTGAAAAAATGAGTCAAGCCTTAAAAGGTCATGAGAGTTTAAAAACAAACAACAACAACACAACATTGGAGATTTTTAGTATACAGCATCTGTGAATTAATTACAGGCATAGAGAGTCATGGAGTTTGTGAGGCTAGAATTTTGGAAAAAACAGCTTTGCTCTGTGTTAAAGATTATAATTTTAAATACAGAGTGTTAGTGCAAAGAATTGTGGGTGAGAAACTGTGTTTAGTGTAACAGAAGTAAACAGAGCAACTACTGCTACTTCGAAGTTTTTGCTGTCCAACAAAAAGCAGACAGAGAGAAAATGAGAATAATGATGAGCAAGCTAAGCTGTTTCTGCAGGATACAAGTGAGCTGACTTGCGATTTTTATATATATCAACAAGTTTTTATTGTGAAGTGGCTTTGTGTACAATAATTGGGACAGCTTGCCAGTTGTAAAGTCCACGTTAAAAAAAAAAGGTGACTTTTTTTCTACTGAATGTGATGTGGAACAGGTGTGTCTTGCTTTCACCACTGTACCTGTGAATGGCTCAGTGGCACAGCTACTTCTGAGTGGGTTTTGTAAGAATTTAGTATTCTATTTGAGTCAATAACTCAGTACAGAGCTAGCATAGTCAGAAGAGCAAGAAAAGGATTCTACTGAGATACTTGGCAGGATAATTTTATTGTGATTTGAAGATGGGTGCTGAAGTAGTGTAAAGGATAAGGGTGTATTACACAGTGGGACAGGAGAGGGAAGGAAAGTAAGGGAAGAGGTTGTGCATCTTTTGGCAGGAGAAAGCTAGAAGATCATTTTAGTCATTTTGCAGAGCTCCACCCTCAGAAGCACCATGGGAAAGAATGTGAAGCTATTTAATTGTTGCTGTGGGCCAGCTGGAGATCATAGAATCGTTTTGGTTGGAATAGGCCCTTCATAATTGAGTCCAACCGTAAACCTGATATTGCCAAGTTCATCACTAAACTGTGTCCCTAAGTGCCACGTCTGTGCATCTTTTAATTACCTTCGGGGTGGTGACTCAACTACTTCCCTGGGCAGCTTGTTCCAGTGCCAGATAACCCTTTTGATGAAGAAATTTCTCTCAATAAATTGAGTCAGCATACCAGTAATAAGTGAAGTGAGTTCAGGAAAGAATAGACTTTTGAGGGGATCTTAAAATCATAAGTAGCCTCTCTTCTTGTTTTTTTTTTTTTTTGTTTTGTTTTAGATACAAAACAAGAACTTCTGAGGAGCTGGAGAGTAAGAGCTAAGAAATCACAGCAGTGATATGAACTGGGGTCCTTAACACATACAACACCAATTAGCTCAGTGGGCTAGAGCATGGTGCTAGTAACACCAGGGTTTTGAGTTCAATCCCTGAATGAGCCATTTACTGAAGAGTTAAAGTCAGTAATTCTTTTGGGTCCCTTCCAATTTAGAATATTCTGTAAATCTGTGAAACACCAAAAATAGCCCCTTCCTCTCACCCCACAATCCCCTCCCCCCAAAAAAACCAAAACAAAAAAACAGCAAAAAGGTCTTTGTCAACACCAAGATGAAGTGTTAACCTTGACAATGAAATATTAAGGCTGTGATATTTCTTTGGAAGATCAGTCTGTGATTTTGCACTATGCTTTTTGCGATTTCTGCATTACTCAGTATTTTATAGTGCCTTTGTAAGATTTTGTGACAGGGAAATAGACAGTCCTGGTTCTGATCTGTGATTACAGGAAAGCCACATGGCTTGGTTTTTAGAATCCGGAATGTATTTAGTCTGTTTCCAAGCCCATTTCAATGTGAGGGACAGACTAGTGAAAGTCTGAATTGCCGTTTGTGTAGTCAAATTGGATTAAATTCTTTTACATTTGTGATGTGAAGTTTTCTTAGGCCTGTCTACCTTCCTTTCTGGCCTTACTTTTACTAAAAATGAGTCACACTTGAGTAAGTAATTTACATTTTCTACTTCTTTGTAATGTGTGATGCATTTTCAGAAGAAGGAAAAAACAAGATAGCCCGTCTTTCCTTAAAGTTAATATGTCACAGTTATTTTGTTAAATTTTTTATAGAATACTTTTGGTGAGAAGGCTCTTTGGAAGTTTAAAACAAATCTACCTTGACAGTATTTGACCAAAAAGGCTTCTGTTATTTTAGTTCCTTCTGAGGTAATGTACTATGAGAGGGTCTTTATTTCTTTACTGTCTTGATTTTCTGCAGCAGTATTGGTTTCAATAAGACTGAAGAATGAGACAGCTAACTTGCTGTATTTATATTATCAGCTCAGTAGTGGAAATGTCTTTCATGTTCTCAGTTTTCTCACAGTTTTGTAGCTTTTGCTCTGGAGTTCCCCAGTTTGCTTCAAATTACTTATCTGCTAATAAAGCTTCTGGGAAATACCTGCCTGCCCTGCTAAGCACCACAAACATGTCTTTCCTCAAACTTTTTAGTCTCCAGAAACGAGTTTTTCCTCAGCTGAAAGAGGACATGGTGAGGAAAAAGTTGCTGTAACTGCAGCTTTTCATGCGAAAATACAGGAAAATGGTTTTAGTATACATTTATGTAGGCATCCTTATTATACAGATCTCTCATTGCTACAGATTTGTTAATATGGCAGATTGTAGTATCATTTTGTCATTATTTCTTCACATCCAAACTGCCTGCCTTTTTCTACAGGACAACTCACTGTTGTGGCACTTCTGAGTTAATGCCAGCCTTATCAGATTGCCAAATAATAGTGTCCATTGCCATTGCACAAGAGGTTTTCTGGGCTAGTGCCGTGGTCTTTCTTGTTCACATGGTGAGCTTAGTTTATTGTGCATATGTAGCCATCTGCACTTTCAAAGTGAAAAACATATTTTCAGTCACTTTGAAAGTTATATTGCTCTAAAACTGCTCACCTGGGATCTTTCTTGTGGTATAACAGGGAACAGGTCCAAAAGTGTTGTGAGCCAGGGAAGTTCCCACACATTACCCAAGGCAGGCCAAAGCATAGCCAAACTATTTTCAAAGAAACCTGATTATGAGGAAGTTTTCCTCCTCTCCTGTTTTGTTCTCTTGAAATTAAGGGGCTATATGAAATAAACTATTTGTAGTGCCATAAGTAATCCAAACTGCTTGTTTTCAGTGTGTCCCATCCCTGAAAGTATTCAAGGCCAAGTTAGATTAGGGCTCTGAGCAACCTGGTCTAGTGAAAGATTCCCTGCCCATAGCAAGGGGGTTGGAACTAGCTGATCTTCAAGGTCCTTTCCAATCCAAACCATTCCACGATTTTATGGCTTGTGCTGTTACAAACCTCTTAAACTGAGTTAAGCCCTGGAAAAAGCAAAGGAATCCCAAACCTGGTATAATCCAGTAAGATTCTCACTGTCTCTAATTTTTCTGTTTTCCTAGGTTTGCAGAGAGGTCTATGCATGTATTCCAATTTAAATTCAAAGTTTTTAGATATCTGGTTTTACTGTGCTTACTGCACAGCAGTGCAAGATAGCCATGTCCATACTTGTGTATCTGATGGTTGACTTTGCATATGCTGTGAGTAGATTTGTTGAAAAGGATCTTTCACATCAAGCTAGTGCTCATAGAAATTGATGTGCAAGAACATACCTTGTTTTCCCAAAATCTCACTGATCCTTTGTTTGAAACGTAACAGAATTAAATGGTGTGGCAGTAGCATGTCTCTACATGTGCTAGAGTTTCATTTTAAACACCATAGTCAATACAATTTCTTACCTTACCCTTGAGTAGGCATCTAGCAACTAATCAAGCTGATGACATTAGATTTCATTGGCTGATAGACAAAATCTTCATTGACTACAGTAGGTTAATTTTAATTGGTGTGCCTATCTGTAGGTGTCCTAATTTTAAATAATATCTTGATTCCTGTTGATGGTGCAAATGCAGGTCTTGTCTGTCCAAACACATTCTGGATATATCCTAGTAAGATTGCTTGCTTTTCTAAATTTGTTTAAGTTTTTAAAGTACAGGAAGTGATGTAAAAGCGTGGTTTGTAGAGAACTAGTGAAGATGATGATTTCTTTACATCTCCAGTGTTTAATTTCCTTTGCATAATGATAAATACACAAACACACTTTTACAAACACTAGGAAGGTAAAAGACTGTGTATATGCCACAAACTCAGCTGTAGCTGTTCCATTCTGCAGTAAGAGGCAAGTTTCTTACCAGAGTTAGTGTGGGACACCACACACAAAAGCTCTGTCTTTGCTGCTTTTTAGATGTATGGTGGTCAGGCTTGTTCTAAATACTCCATTTTTATGTAATGCAATTATTTCTTGTTTTTGGAAATGTGTTACTTTCAATAGGTTACATCTTCAGGATAGCCTTAGTTTTTCATTTATCTCAGACTGCTGATACCTGTCCTCAGTGTCTAATCTAAAACTCCATGAGAATCCTTCATCAAGTATGTCCCTTTAAAAACTGCCCTGCCGCAGTACCACCACCTACAGAACTTAGTGCAGTGTCTGTTACAGTAGCTCCCTGTGCAGCTCCCTGGGCCCAGCCCCACTCTGTGCTGCTTGTTCCACTCTGCCTCAGTTCCAGCCTTAATTCCAAAAGTGGAACAAGAGTGTCTCTTCTCATCATGGTTTTCTGTTTTTCGTTTTCTGTTTTCTAGCAGAACGCAGGGTCATCAGTTGATACGTGAATAGTGGTTTGTGGGTGGTTTTTTTTTGTTTGTCTGTTCTTGTTGGGATGGTGGACCCTTAAGAAGAAAGAAGACATTTTTAAGCCTTTTGTTTACCTTCTAGTTCATTTCCCATGCCATTGGAAAGGCCTAGCCCTCTATTTAAAGCATCATTGTGAAAAGCAATTAATGTGGAGAGCAGAAAAGGGGTCTCATCTTTCCAAAATCCCACCAACCCTTTGTCTAGAGGGAAAAAAGGAAATAATGTGATGTGTCAGTAACATGCTATATTTTAACTTCTGTTTTTTGGCTTATTTTGACTTTAAATTACAATGGGATTGAGAGTAAAGCTGCTCACTTACAAGATGTAGGGATTGACATTTCAGATACTAAATGGATTTCTTTGTCAACTGCAAATCTAACTGCTTTAAAGTGAGAGTGTCTCTCTTTCATGGCCTTTAGCATTCATTCTACAGAGCTCAGGTATGCCTGGTTTTGGTCCCTAGCGTAAATCAGGTAGATGCTTCTTGGAGCAAAAGTACTCAACATCCCTATCTGAGAACAGGAGAGTACCTATTATGTTTATGAAATTGCATGTTGAATGTATATTTAGATTTTTCTTTTTTTTTTTCTTTTTCTTCTTTTACTGTATCTGCTAATGCCCTCTTTTCTTTTGCAGACCCTTGTGATAATATGAGAGAGATTCTCCAAAATGTGGCCAAATTACAGGGCGTGTCTAATATGAGAAAACTAGGTCACTTGAATAATTTTACTAAGGTAAGAGCTCAAATAGTGTCACAGAACAAATGTTTGATTGTACAGGTAAAATGTTTCGTATTTACTCAGTCAGACTGGGACATTTATGAAATTGCTTAATATCACAGAACAGTACTCAAAGCCTACATACTACGGGAAAGGGAGGTATCAAATAAGGACAAGAAAATATGTGAATGCAGAGTTATGCTGAAGTTTGCATACCTGTCCTACTGGCTGAGTTTTTGTAGTATTTTCGTGCTTAGAAGATGGAAATATCTCCCAGTTAATGGGTTAAGTTGCATAACTAGAGCTAAAGATTTGGTTCCTACTGTGCAGAATTGAAATAAAAAACATAAAATGCCAGACTTTCTGAATGTAAACTGATGGAGTATGGTGAGGGGTGAGGACTGTATCAATGCACATTATATGCAATGTTTTGGGCACTAGCAGAATTGGATCTGCAACTTTCACTGCAGTTTTCATAGTGAAAAAGATTTAAAGGGTCCATTTCTGAAATGTGTCCATGTTGATAATCTTTGGTATGCTTCTTCCAAATTGTGGACAGATGACAGGTACACTTTGAAAATATAACAGATATATTGGAAGCTGTCATTGTGAGCTGATGAGACTAGAAGTAAAAACTTACTGCAGGGTGAAGGTGTAAGCTGAAGAAAGAAACCGTGAAAGATGCTCAGAAGGGACAGCAAGTAGCATTTTTTGGGTAAAAGAGAGACCTATGGAGAAAAGCTGAGACAGTTCATGGGAGGTGGTTGGAAGTTTGGGGAAAGGTGTTCATTGTAGGATGGTGAGTAGTTGTGGACCAGTGTTGCATCTGGCAATGCAAGGAAAATATGTGTTGCAGTCAATGAGGCAGGAAACATTGAAGCTTCACTGTGAGACTTACCCAAGTTTATGGACTGATAGAAGGACATGGTATGTTGTACACCTTTCTGATAGAGATAGGGCAGCACACCTGAAAATGAAAACCGAGTTCCTGTGA